CCCCCCCCCCCCCCCCTAGAAAAAGGGGAGTAACGGTCCTGTTGATACAGTCGGTTACTCTAGTGAAACCTGCTGGCTACTTCAATTTTTATTGAAACCCCTGCGTCTCATGCTTGAATCTTGATATATTTTTTCTTGAGACCTTTCCCCCCGGTATCTCCAGAATGCTGATTTCCCTTTCTTGATGTTGCTATGAGAGTGATCGGAACTAAATTGATTAGCGGAACTTCCGGAAGTGTTAATTATATTTAACTAATTCGCTATTTAGGAGTTGGAGCAACTTGCATCAGTGTTGTCTGTGGTAAATGCACCTATACAAGCAACAGTTCAGGTAAATTTTCTTTTTGCTTTGTTTGATCTAAGTGATGATATAAGCTGTTACAATGTGTTGAAAATGGCAGTACAGTGCCTGCCCCTAACATAGTACAGTGGAACCTCATCAATACGGTTACCAATGGGCCAAAAACATTTGGCCGTATTAACGAGGGTTTTTTACAAGTAACTGTATGGCTGTTTTGCTGGGCGGCCAAAAAGGTGTCTGTGGGTTTCACTGTATATTCTAGACAGTCTCTCCTTTTGCTGCAGTGATACATTGGAAAAGTATAGAGTCTCTGGTTCGGCTCATAACGCTCTTTTATGTCATGTGATTGCCATCCAAACTGGTTTATTATCGGACATTTGAGGCACTACACTGTGCCGTTAGTGACGATACACATGTTCTTCACTTCTTATTTCCTGACTTCTCCGAGGGTGTGTTTACAAGAAGGGAGGATAGCCCTTGCAAGAGTTTTAACCTTGCCCCGACGCATTTTTTTTTTACACAATGTGATTACAAGGGAGGTGGGTAACAATACCTGCCTTGGCATTAGGTACGCTCTCATAAGTGGTAAAAAAAAAAAATAAAAGTAGGTAAAACATGATAATTAAATTAAGTCTTAAACTAGCCTGTGTATGGCTGGGTCCTCATGAGGGGAGGGAATGAGGGGAGGTGGCGGTTGTTCACAGGCTAGTCGTAAATAAAAATTTAAAAATACCGTAATGATGTTTTTTTTTACGCGACCCTTATCAGGTTAAAAAGGTTAAGGATGTTGTAAGAAACTTGGATTCTCAAGTCAAAACTGGAGTGCTGTCATGGACCATGTAAGTCAGTTATGGTAAAAGTTTTATCACTCGTGTCTCAAGGGCCATTACTGTTTTTTTGTTTTTGCCTTCAGATGGGATGATGCTCTTTTTTAACAGCATCAGTCTGATAATGGCAAAATTAATTAGTGTATCCAAGTAGAAGAAAGATTTACTCATTGTATATTAGTTAGGATACAGCAGAAACTGAAAAGATTTTTCAAATTTACATTGTAGAGCAAAATTATATGGAGGCTTCATCTTGTAATCCTCACAACCAATAGATCAGTGTTTTTGATTGACTGACAAGTGACTACCTCTGTGGAAGACATGTTTAACTGCATTTGTTGCTAAAACCTGACTGTGAAAGATTTGAACCCAGGAGTCATTTCATGAGTAGGTGGAGTATGAACGTCTGGTTGAGTGCAGGCCTGAATAGGACTGTCAAAGACTCCGAAGATGACTACCGCACAGGTTGTCAAAACGTCAGTCCCTGTTAACAATAGTCGTATTCTGGACTACGTTCACCCAGACTATGATATCCCACCGATTTACGGCAGTTGGCACAAACAACGGTAATGAAAGGGTGTACAGTTTTTTGGGATAAGTGCATGATTTTATCTCAGTAAGATAAATTTGCTGTTACTATGGTCACTTTTCCTTTTTTTTTCTTTTCTCGACTCTTTCTCTAGGAGACAGGTTCTTCAATCAAGAAAAGATTCTCTCAGAGAAGGGAGTACAACCATACCTCAACCCCGCAAAGAGTCATTAAAAGGTAGTAACTCAGGTCTGAGTCCTGTTTTTGGTGCCTCTCCACCAAGGAGAAAGGACAGTGATAAACTACCTGGTCTTCCTGTGCAAATAGATGATGGCTACGAGGCTGTACAGATGCCTTACAGGCCTCCCAAGCCTATATCAACACTTTCAACACCCACAGATAATTCATCCTCCGAGTATTTTACTCGCCCTTCACGTCCTCAAAAACCTAAAGGCTCGTTTGACGCAACAGCGTCTTCTAATGACAGTACGTCCCAACAGGCTGCTCCTCCAGTAAGGCCTGGGCGAGGTGGCAGCTCCTCATCGAATGCTTATGAAACTGTTGAAATATTTCCATCAAAACGTGGAGGAAAGGATACATCTAGCGATTCATCGTCAACGTCATCATTATCATCATCATCATCATCAAGCAAACCTCCAAGACCACCAAAACCAGGGAGTGTCTCCGAAACACAAGATGATGATAGCTCTAGTATTTATCAACAACCTCCTGCACCGGTTAGTGTTACTCCTGCTCGAGATGATGTATACGACAATGTTCACATAAGGAACATTCCATTGGCAACCAACACCACTGGTCAGGGGACCTCTGGTCCTGGTACATTCACAGGAACAGAGATCCCCCAGGGAACCCTCCAGAGCACCTCTGGTCTTGGTACATTCA